ACTGCTGTGCTGTTTTACATTCCTCAGCATGGAGAACGCACAGAGCTGCTCAGAATGCTACATCTAGCATATGAGGAATTTGTGGGAGAACTTGATGGGAATCCCAGAACCATACCAGACCGGCTGCTTGGGGAGAGACTGCTGCTCCCCAAACCGCTGACTTCTCTTCATTCTTTGTTCCTCCCTTTCACTTCTCACTTGCTCCTCTTAGCCTGCTGGCCTAGGTCTTCCCTCCACTCCTGACACACACACACCCCCCGCTTGGTCTGAGGGATCTTCTCTGCGCCCATCACCTGCATTGCACAGAGATATAGAGCTGAATTTTGTGCCCTCACCTGCAGAAATGACTCGCGGATGCGGATACCCATGGATATAAATCAGATATCCATGAATTTGCAAGGCACTACAGAGAGGAGTCCTCAGCTGCTCTGCTCCGGACCTCTGGGGCCCTACTTTTTTTGACTCCCCAAGGATGAGGCCTACCTCTCTGTGCTGCTGTGTAGAAGCAGTGAGCTGAGTAAGTTGGCAGCTGCCCCACAGCAGACAGCCACAAGGCTTAGTGCCTAGGGGTACTCTGCCCCATCTAGTCGCTAGTCCTGAAAATAAGTACTGTCTGATTTCCCAACCAGGCTCCATTTGTAGCCATTTGCAGCTCTTTGAGCCCCTTCTCACTGGCTCCTTGCCCCCTGGTGCTGCTCCCTTACAAACCTCACGCAAAGCAGCACCAGCTATAATGTCTGGCAGTGCAGCCTGTTCCATGCTTTCCAGAACCATCTCTCTGGAAAGCAGGGAATGGGGCAATGGAGTTTGTTTTGGGAGCTGAGCAGACTTGTGAGAGAGACACTTTCAGCCCTACATAGGAGACTCCCTTTGCTATAGCTGCTAGACCCCATTCCCCTCAGAGATGGGGATAGAAACCAGGAGTCCCGAGGACTCTAGACTCACTCCTTTTTTCTACTACTGCATTGCATTGCCTAAAAATGAGGTGCACCTGCCCATGCAAGCTTGCAAATCACAGAAAATAAGCATGTGGGGAGAAGGTGCAATGACACCGGTGTGCCTGATCTGTGACCTTAACCCATGGATTCATTAATTCACTCTGTCACACACATGGAGCAGGTCGGATTCCCTTGAGTTTCCCTGTGTGTCACACAGACACACACACACTTTCTTTCTCTCTGTCAGTTTCTCTTTCTTTCTCTCTCTCTCTCCAGATGGCTGACCCATCTTTTCATAAAGATCTTTGTCTTGACCTATCCCTCATTCACAATGAAATACCCACCCTGCTCTAAGCCATAATGACCGGTCCCTCAGCTCCTTCCACTTGTGTAGTCTGGATTGCTGCTGTTGCCTGGTGTGTTACAAACCTGGATTGGCTGGGGTCCTGGCTGCAGAGGAAGCAGCGCCCATTGTGACCCCTTTAGAGTGCACCCATTGGTCAACCCAGGTGGAACCACTCATCTGGCTGGATCTTGCATTTTCAAAACCAGGGAACTGCAATTGTGTTCATCACATGGACCCATGTGAGTTAGGAGCATTCCCTTGCTAGAGCCTGGGACAGCTCATGTTTGCAGATACACAGAGCCATCTTCCAAACAAAGCAGTATTTATTTTTCCCCAAGGAGTAAGAAGCACTCAGGAGAGTGGGTTAATGGGAGGCTGGGACAAATTGTCCAACCTCATTTTTTTTCCTTTGAAAAATGCTGATTTAGGTTTGAAGCAGGCTCAGGTTTTTTTTTTTTTTTTTAAGCCTGGATACTATGGGGGCCACAATATGGTTGGTGTCAGTCCCACAAAAAGTTAATCTAGCCCTGGCAGGTTTTCTTTGAGAATGAGGACAAGTAGTTCAGATACAGAATGACTGTTTTGTGACAAGTGTTCACCCCACAGGTGACAGGGTGTTTTTGTCTTTACCATATTCCTGTATGAGTTTATTTGGGAACATAGTGATTGGTTTCACCCTCATAGTGGTCGTTGGGGCTTTTAGTGCACTGGATGAAGTATACCACATGTGATGTGCACGTGAAGTATTTGTGGATCTTAAAAGGTACGATGTAGGGGGTGTTGATCATTGTAGCAGTAGAGATATGAGAACTAAGCTCTTCACGTAGGAAAATGATTTAAAAAAATAATAGGCCACTTCACCTTTAGAATCTGTGCTAACTACTTATGCTAAACTATCCATTTCATCTTGTATTTAGCTGTAACATTCTCAGGCCTTTCCCAGGCCTGTAGAAGATCTCTGGGTAGCTTAAAAGTTTGTCTCTCACCAACAGATGTTGACCCAATAAAAGATATTACCTCACCCACATGGTCTAATATCCCGAAATCAAGACAGCTTTAACAACACTACATAAACTATAATAACAATCAATATTCTGTTTTGATCTGGGTGAATTCTTTTTCTGGGTTACGTTAAAACCCCATTTAAAATAAGTGTAAACTCATCTTAAGGCTATGTCTACACAGTTAAGGCTATGTCTACACTGGCAACTGAGCAGTAAAACTTAATGTTGTTCAGAGGTGCTAAACTCCCTCTCTCCCCCCAAAAGACAAAAGTTTTGCCAGGAAAAGCGCTGGTGTGAACAATGATGCGTTGGCAGGAGTGTTCTCCTGACAACCAAGTGAATGCTGCTTGTTGGGGACAAATATTTTTTTGGCAAAAGAGCCAACAAATAGTGGCTATGCTGCCTGGCTTTTAGTAACAGACTAAACAAACCCAAGCCTTTCAGTCTTCCCTCAGAGGTCGGGTTTTCTAGATCTTTAATTGTTTTTGTTCCTCTTTTCTGAACCTTCTCCAATTTGTCTACATCTTTCTTGAAATGTAGCACCCAAAAGTGGAAATAATTTAAGTTTAGCCACTTCCATAGTTAAATCGATGTTGTAATCTGCTTTGCGTCAACCTGAATCTGTAGTGTCAATCAGATTTGACAAAGATAGCCTGAAATGTTAACTGAAAGCACCATGGCTGCTACTGAAAGAAACCCGGGAAGAGGTTTTAGGTTACGGTTTGGACTGAAAATAAAGTAGAGTTGGCAGAATTAATTTTAAAACATGTATAATTTTGATGGATAATATCAATGTTTAATTGAAAACATTTTCACTTGATTTTAAATTTCCTCAGTTTTGCAAAGTTATGGGGGGAGTTGGACAATAATTATTTAATGACAATAGGCCTTAAATGACAAATAGGTCAGAAAGTTAAAGCTTCAAAAGCATTAAATCAAATTGTCAAAACTATGTTTCAAAATACACAAAATAAATATCCTTACATCAAACTTTAGTAAGTTCTCAAGCAGCATTTTTCTTTCTTTGAATATCTGTACATTTGGATAATCATCTATGGAAATGTTTTTAGCTTTTGTGTATGTGTGATTAAATTGATGTTTACTGATAATCATTCCGATCTGAACTGTGAAGAAAAATTTCTGTTTCCTGCTGTTGTTTCAGCCTGTATTGAGAGACACAGAATTTTATATATTCTTTGTAAAGAAACAAAATTGGATCAAAGAAATACCTATCGCCTATTTCTACTTCCCACTAAAACACATACAGAACCTCAAAATTTGACTAGCAGCTTGGGTCGAATTGGGACAACAATACAGAGGAATGGAAATGCAAAGAAAATTATTACAGGTTGAACCTCTATAATCCAGGATTCTCAGACCACAGATGTTTCTGGCCCAGAAAGCCCTAGTTGTTGAGAGCAGGGGTAGGGTTGCCAGATGGCTTCAGAAAAAATACCGAAAAAAAAACCCCAAGCCAGGAAAAAATTTGTTGAGAAGAAAAAAAAAAAAAAGAGAGAGAGAGAGAGACCCCCAACACTTGTTAAGAAAAAAAAACCCGCAGAGGCCCCTTTAGAAACCACGGGGGTGAGGCTTTTTGGCCCTAACAGGCTGCCAGCGGCCACCCACAATCTTACGTCCCTGCGCTGGGCCAGACAGCTCCCCAGTAAGCACTAGGGTTGCCAGGCTGCCTCTGTATTGAGCCGGACAGCCTGGGATTTTTGCCTCCTGGCTGGGAAAAAGTCAGAAAGTACCGGACATTTTAGGTGTCCAGTATTGTCTGAATTTTTTTACCTGATAGGAGGCAAAAATACCAGACTATCTAGTCCAATACTGGACACCTGGCAACCTTAAGCAGGAGCTGGCCTGGAGTCTGGCCAGGAGTGCAACTGGGCTAGTGGCAGTGGGGCCAGAAGTACATCCGGGAGCCTTGCCAAGGCTGAAAGCATAGCCAGGCCAGTGGCCAGAAGAGCAGACAGGAGCCCTGCTGGGGCCAGAAGCACAGCCAGGTCAGCGGCCAGAAGTCCTACTGGGACTGGAAGTGCGGGGGGGCTGGCAGCTGGTAGCCCTGCCAGGGCTGAGAGCTCAGTGCAGTGGGTGGGCCTGGTGACCATGAATGAGGCAAACGGCCAAGAGGGGAGCCTGGGATTGAGAGCTGATGGCCAGCAGGGGAGCATTGACCTTCCTGATCCAGTAAACTCCATGGTTTAGGACCAATCAAACCCCCAGGATGCTGGACCAGGGAAAGCCAACTGTCAAAAGACTTGTAGTTCATATCCGGTGTTTAAAAGCTATATTTTGTTTTAAATTAGAATGTTAAATCTATTAATATTAATTATTAACATGTATATTGTGGTAACATCAGAGGCTATGCTCAGGATATCTTGGGAGAGGAAATTCAAGCAGTCTGGCTAATATACAGAGCATTAATTCTTCAGCAATGTCCCGTATTTACCCATTAACATACCATCAATAATTTTCTAAAATTCATCTGGTGGATTTTTTTTTAATTTGCAGTTGATAACATTAATGACGAACTAGGGTTAATGGCCTGAGGCACAGCTGTAGATTGTCATCTCCTCCCAGCTACTCGCTTAATGCCAAGAAAATGCCTTGCAACTCAGTTTTTGTTGCTTTATTGATGGTGTAATATTTTGTTTTGAGATTCCAAACTGCCATTAAAAGCCATAAAGCAACTGACGTAATTCTTTGCAGGGTCGTTGTACAAGAGAGAATTGCAAGTATCTTCATCCACCAACACATTTAAAAACTCAACTAGAAATTAATGGCAGGAACAACTTAATCCAACAGAAAACTGCAGCAGCCATGCTTGCCCAGCAGATGCAATTCATGTTTCCAGGATCACCAATTCAACCAGTGGTAAGTGTCCTTTTTCAAATCATATGGAGGGTAATTAAAGCTCAGAGGTGAGATTGGGTTGACATGAGAATAGCCTTTAAACACTTTCATTGTCAATGAAAATAAATTGCTATTTAGAGTCTGCGAGAACTACAGAAATGCTGGAAAAGAGGCACAAATTTAAATTTGTGTGCCAAGGAGTCATGATAGGTGTGGCACATTCAAGTCTCAGCCTCACCCGTTGCACTCCTCTGCCTCTCCTCCCCAAATGCTTTCCTTTCTTTTTTTTCTCAGGTTTTGAGACCTAGCTACCTAATGAGTTAGGTTTGCAAGGACTTTGTGCAAGATCCCCGCTTGTGTGTAAAGAGTTGCAGCAACCATAACCATTTGAGTAGGATTGCTGTGTCTTCTTTCCCAGTGTCTATGGACTGATTAATTTAAAATAAATCTTTCTTCTCCAATTGTTTCTTTATTCCCTTCCTAAGAGAACAAATGATCTTGTATTAATGGGTTGTGCTTACTTCCTAGCTTTACTTTTGAAGTGACCCAGAATGATGTGGACAAAGAAGAATAATGATATGGCACTTTACAAGCTTCAAAAGCTTCTTTTGAAATCATATATAAAACAGTCCGGGGCACTTCCTTCAAATCCAAATCCAAATCCAAAGCAAGCACTTTGCAGCCATGAACACCAGCTGAGTATATATGTATAAATGATATGGATAAATGTAAAAGTAATCAGCAATATTGTCCTGTTCAAACAGGTCAGGGACAACTTCATAACAAACAATAAAGATTAGAGGTGAGTGGGTAGTACTCCTTCTTGTCAAATGCAGTGTGACCCAGTGGGAACACTTAAGGTCAAAGCCTGCTTTCATTGGTTCACATGGAAGTTGCATCAGACAGATTTGTGTCTCACACAGGAGAGAGAGAGAGTGCAAGGAGACAATATGAGGGGAGCAGGGAGAATGAACATCAGGGATGGTCCTGAAGGGTGTGACTACACAGCAAAGTTATTTCAGAATAACGGCCGTTATTCCTTAATAACTATGCGAGCGTCTACACAGCAATTCTGTTATTTTGAAATAATTTCGAAATAACGGACAACTTATTCCAACTTCTGTAAGCCTCATTCTACGAAAAATAACACCTGTTCCAAAATAGCTGTTTCATATAAGGCGTGTGTAGATGCTCCACTTCTGCTATTTCGAAATAGCCTCTCACCAGGGCCATCTACATTAGGAAAGCCTGCCTCAGACTAATTTTGAGGCTTCCCTGCAGTGTAGACGTGCTATTTCGAAATAAGCTATTGCAGAATAACTATTCCGGAATAGCTTATTTTGAAATAACACTGCAGTTAGCCCAAGAGGGACAGGAAGAAAGATCTTGTGGTGGAAGAAAATGAAACTTTGTTTATATTATCAGGTTTGGCTTTCCCAGTGAAAGTTACCTCAGGTTAGCTTAAACTAGATCTCTTACCAAAGACAACACTTGTAGCCAGTCATGTAATAAACTATCTAATGATTTATTAACTGGGAAAAAGAAATGGATTATTTTAAGGTTAAAGTAAGTAAGCAGGCGCACACAAATTGGTTTCACTCTTAAGTTCTCAAAGAGCAATAGAAGCTGCTGTAACATGCAAGGTCTGTATATACTCTACAGCTAAGCTGGGCCAAACCCAGGGAAACTCTTGCTTGTGTTTAGAAATCTCAAACAGCTGAGAGGTACAGTGCTTTCTTGTCAGGGATTTTTACTCCTTTTGCCCCAGAAGTCAAGTTGATGGGACTAATCCATCTGTACCTCTTCTCTGCATGGGTATTGGAAGTAGCAATCAACAGAGTTCTTATTCTTCAATGTTTCATAATGACTCAGTAGGCCTTCTTGGTGGTTCAGAACAAACTCCTGTTTTGAATGTAATATGAGGTTGGTTAAACTGTTCACTATTGTAAGGAAAGAAATCCCCTAATTTTCACATAGGCGTTTCTTCCCCTTTCTCTATCTTATCAATATCATCATTCAAACTTCACTTTTCACCTACAATGGAAAGTAAAAAGCAAGTTATTTTTTCTCTGCCTGAAACTGTTATTGAGCTGTGATAGATTATTATTGACGAAGCAGAATAAAAAGCATCAAAGAAATACCTAAAAATTCTGTGAAGCTTGTAGGGTTCTTCTTAAAACTATGTCTAGTACAAAGATTTTATTTTTCTATTAAACATTGTGCTGTAATAGCACGTTTCTTTTTTTAATACCTATTGTGTGATATAATTGAACATAGAGCTATTAGAGCAAGAATCCTTTTTTTCTTAATTTTTTAAATTATTTTGATTTACAGTTTATGGATAGTTTTTCATTGGGATAAGAGCAAGTCTTTGATGTGCATAGGAAACAATTTTTTAAAGTTTTTACTCTTTCATGAGTGATAACTAGATTATTTTTTTTCTTGCAGTTGGGCACCCTAGCTAGTTCTTCTGCTGCTGTCAGCCCCTTTTTGGGGGCTACATTGGACTCATTCTTGATTGGCAACTTTCTCCAAGGACTGCTAAAACCCCTTTGAGTCATGTTTTTTCCCCCTCGGGCTGTTTCATACAGTGTAGATGGCTAGCTTGCCCTTCTAATAGAGCTTACACAGGCCACCTTGAAGAGAAAGAAATGTTTGCTGCTACATTTTCTAGAGCTCTGCTACATCTTGGCATTTACTAGCTGCCAGCTTATTTTGGGGCTTAACTTTTGGTTGACCCTGCATTTCTGGCCTGGCTAGTCTTGGATAGAGTTGTGTAAGAACCCGAAAGTTTCCAGTAGTGAGTGCAGGTACAAACAATCTCTGCAATTGCTCTTGTAATATCAGTCCACACTTGTCTGAAACTTGCTGCATTTCTATGCATATTCTTTTCAGTTTTGTAATTATACAGGCAGTCCCCGAGTTACGTGGATCCGACTCATGTCGGATCCGCAGTTACGAACGGGGCCCGTCTCCCTGGTCTCCAGCAGACCAGGGAGAGGAAGCAAAGCGGCGGAGCACGCGGGCAGCGGACAGCCCAGATGCGTCTGAGCTGTGGGCTGCCCACGTGCTCCTTGGCTTTGCTCTGCTTTGCTCCCCGTCCCCCTGGTCTGCAGACCAGGGGGACGGGGAGCAAAGAGACCGGACACGGCGGGAGC